GTTAGAGGTATTTTAGGTTTCCAGAATTTTGGTTTTGTTTTATTTTTTATTTTTTATGTAGACTTCATTGAGAATGCCTCATTTAAAAGTCAGAATTCTACATTGCTCCAAGGTATGAAACTTTTTGGTCAACATGACAGTGGTCAAAGGTTTTCAGATCTTGAGGCAGTCCGAATTTTCAGGTTCAGGATGCTCAGTATATAGTATTTTGATAGGAAAACAGATTCTCTTTACTGCTTGGAGCCCAACCTCCAGTTAGAAAAGTAAGTCTTCATGATGTCAAACTTAATTTTGACATGGTATAGAAAATATGTATATGAAATATGATGAAAGATTTTTCATTACTCATGACTGAATCTAGGTGATGGAGTTTGGGGTATTTAGTGGCACCTGGTTCATTTTTCTGGATATTTGAGGGGTTTCTGGCCATCTGATTAAATGATGAAGTCCATTCAGTAAGAGAAGCTTGAAGGATCTGAGCACTCACTCTTGAAGAACTGCCCCTGCTTTCAGAGGGGCCTTTGCTGGGGGAGAGCTGTGCAGTGGTGGGTGGAGCTCCTCCGAAACCTGGGAGGCAGGTAGAGAAGTTCCTCCCAGCTTCCTCCGCGCGCGCGCGGTCTCCCAGCTTCCTCCGCGCGCGCGCGGTCTCCGTTTCAGGGTGGGACTCTCTGCCGAGCACCATATCACCAACTTCCCTTGGCACCTGCAAGGATCCTGATGTCACAGTGAATCCACTGAAAAACTAATGAGGCTGAATAGCTCCATAGTAATTCAAGAGGCTATTTTCTCTCAGTGACTTGACACTATAAATCACAATAACCAATGTAAATGACCGTTCCTTTGAAATGTCTTAGTCACTTTTCTATTGTTATGAAGCTTAGCCCCCCCCCCCGCTGTCTCTCTCAGTCTCTCTTAGTTTCAGTGTCTCCCTGTCTCTCTCTGCCTCTCTCTCTCTCTCTCTCTGCCTACAGATCAGGATGTAGCTCTTAACTTCTATAGCACTATGCCTGCCTGCATGCTAGCATGTTCCCTGCCATGATGATAATGGCCTAAACCTATGAAACTGTAAGCCAGCCCTCAGTTAAATACTTTCTCTTGTCAAGGTGTCTCTTAACAGCACTAGAACAGTCACTATGACAGAAATTGGTAACAGGGAGTGGCATATTGCTGTGACAGGCCTGACCATGCTGTTGGTTGGAAGGATATGGAAAACTTTGGGACATTGGACTAGGAAAGCAGTGGGGTGCTTTAAGTGTGGGCATAGTGGGCTGTGCACATAGGAGCGTGGAAGGCAGTGCTGAATTGTAGGGACCCAGGTCAAGAAGTTTCAGAAGGCAAAGGGAGTAGCAAGTGGCCTAGAAACTATTATTGGAACAATCTGTCCAGCCCCAAGTCTCCTTATTTCTAATAATGATACAGGGGAACAGTTTTAAGACAAAGTATTCTTTCTTAAGAGTCTGTATACATTTTGTGAACAGCTAGTAGGGCCCAGTAGAAAGTTTGCAGTAACTGATCCGTGTTTGAGCCTTCAGTGGGGACTTGTAGGCTATTTGTAGACAAAGAGAGAGAAGAACATCAGCTCCTTATGAAGTATGGAATGCAAGAGGTAAAAGAGACTAAAGGTCATGGGTGCTGCCTAGAGGTGAGGAGAAAGATGTGCTTTCTAGTATGTGGGATTAATTAACTGACAAATATAAATTATATCTAGGAATGGACATAGCTGGAGATCTGTGATGGAAAGAGACCTCCCTTATAAAGGCATGCCCCACCCTGGTTCTTCCAAAATCTAAAGACAGTGTTCCCCAACAGAGGGCCACAATAGTGAGTGAGAAAACTGTGATTTGTCAGTGCCTAGTGACTTTAGGCAGACGGTTTTCAAGTAAAATACATTTCCTACTTACCTATCTTCTCCCCAGTCTCCTGTGAGGGTTTTTAAATCTGTGTTTTATTCTTTGACCGTTTCATTCATGTTTACAGTGAATTTTAGTCATTTCAACAACTACCACCTCCCCCTCCATCAACCTCCGTCTTCCTCCACTCCTCCAGCTGCAGTCCTTACCAGGTTCCTTCCTCCTTCAATGTCTTCTGTTTGTGCTGCCCCCTGAGCTTGGTAGGATTGCTTGCATGAGCACGGGAAGAGGTTACATACAGGAGCCTGAACAACTTACCAGTGGCTACACCACAGCAACAGTGACAGCCCTTCCCCCAACACCATTAACTGTAATCTTTCAGGAAGGAGTGGGGCTTCATGTGCCCTTCACATGACATGATAAATGCTCAAGCATGTACAGGTCACCAAGCTCTAGTGAGTGTGCCTGGGTGTAACGGCCATGTCATGTCCAGACTTCATTTTGCAAAACACTTTCTCATCTCCCATTTCTTCTAGTCTTTTCTTCCATTCTTCCATCATTCCCTAGCCTTTGAAAGGAGAAATTCAATGACCCATTTAGGGGTACGTACTCCAATATCCCCTATTCTTGGTAATTCTGCCAAGAACAATTAGTACAATTCCCTGTACTATTTGTGTCCTGCTGCAATAAGAAACATCGCTGACAAGGCTAAGACCCTAACTTGGTTTTCTGCATTTGGAACAAAAGTGTAGGCAGCTGGGCAATGGTACTAAGTGGGGAAGAAACAGACCTCTTAGATTCTTCGCCCCATTACTGTTATCTTCAGAGTGGTGGAGCCTTGGTTTAACCGTGAGTAAGTATAAAACTTAAGCGGCCAGCTGGACTTTGTAAACTCAGTTTCATTAAGAACAAAGATAAGAATATAGTCTTTATCTCCCCTTGTTATCTATGGAAATGGAATACATCTCCCAAAGCATTTCAGCTCAGCATGTTTCAGTAGCAGTAATTTCCTGTTTGTATACCAGGTTTAGTTTGCCTAAAGAACTGACACAAGTACCTTTTGTGTTTAATCTCTTCAAGTTTCTCTTTAAACAGTAAAGTTTCATATGACTAGTGGAATTAGATTAAGCAGGTGCAAATCTTTTTTTTTTTTTTAACATGTTAAACTTACCATTTCATTTGAAGGACCATGAGGCTCTATTTCCTGAGAGTGCTAATAATAATATTGGCTGCTTTAGGAGTGATTCTTGCATGTAATTTTCTCTCAGGGGATATAAGTACACAGGGCCAGATTCTGTTCTGGTGATTTCTCTAACACACCACTTGGACTATGCCTTATATTACTTTCTATAAGAGGAGACATTATATTGGATCCTTCTTGTTTAAGATTGTTTGGTGTAGAGTTTCTTTATCAGTTAGGTAGTATTTTCCAGATAACCGACTTATGAACTAAGAGCAGTGGTTTTCATGATCAGCCTTACATTTAGCAACCTTCTGATAATTTGCTCAGATTTTTTTTTTCAGGAAGTGTTTGAAACTTTGAACAGGCCACTGGCATCTTAATTGCCTAGACCCACAGGCAAGCAAAGGCTATGGCACATTCTCTTCCTTGTTTAGTCCTCTGTAAGACTCATAAATAATTATGTAAAAAAAAAATCACTTCTAAATTTTGATGGGTTCTTAAGTTTCTTTAAAGCACTCAAAGAAATACCAACTTTGTATGTGTTTTTAAAAACTTAGCAGAGGCTAGCAATGTGACTGAAATATAGTGATTTTTCCTGGATCAGGGAAAGTGTGTTTGATCACTGTAAGTCTGGAGATTATCCTTTTGTGGATGTCACTGTTATTTCACAATCTGCATGACTGAAGCAATTGTGCTGTCAAAGCCACAGAGCATCACTCCTTTGCTCTGCCATGTCCTGAGCCTGTTTGCAGGGTGGTGGGAAGGGTAAGTAAATGTAGAAGAGGAACCTCCTTTGGTTGTGTTTTAACTATACACATGGTTTCAGAGCAACCTTTGTCATGAAGTTAAAAACTGTAGGGACTTGATTTCCCTGTAGATGGTCCACTGGATCTCAGTCTCTGTCTTGAAGACTTAGAAGTTTTGTGAGTTTTCTCAGCTCTGGGAAACTTTCACCCTCTCTCTCTGTGGTAACTAGAATCACTATTACTTGACCTTTTTAGAAAAACTCAGCAACCCTTCTTTCATAACCCAAGGGAAACTGAGGAGAGGTACTAAAGAAAAGAGGGGAAGGAAAGACAGACATTTACTTTCTGTGGTTTGCCTGAAGTTCTGTTCACGCCTTGATAATCAATGGCAGTATCTCCATTTTCATAGATAAGATTCACTGTTTGGGGCAAAGTTTATGCAGTGGTGATAGCATGTACATTTTTAAGGGAAGCATAATATTTCACAATATACCCTTTAAAATATTCTGCTCTTGATGGATTCTGCTCTTTTCTTTGGCTCTAATTTGAGACCATTGTGAAGAATGTTACTATGGAAATATACATATTTGCATAGTTTCAACATTAGGTGTTGAGTACTGTTTCAGAATGGCTGTGCCTATTTCTATTTCTATCAACAGCATATGAGAATGCTGATTGTCCCAAATATTTGCCAACACTTAATGCAGCCTTCTTTGTTATCTGTTGTGGTGAATTGGGAGTACAAGGGCATGTGCTTTTTTGGTGTATTGTTTTGCTTGTTTTCAGTCCATGCAGTATTTCTCACATCATCCTTTATGAAGATGTGACCGCACGTGAACTTAGGGGTAACTTATTACAAAGCATTCTCATTTACTCATTTTGAATAAATACTAGAAACCACTCTTTTAATGTTCGGTAAGCGGTGGGTGTTTAGGAGTCAATCTATCATTCATCTGAAATTATTACTTTTCAGATGTCTTAGACTTCGTCATTTGCTCCATTCTGCAGATGAAGTGACCAAGCCACTGCACAGACTCAGAATCATGTTTTGGCTGGGCCTCTCAGAAGAGCTAGTGTGGTAACACTGCTTTCTCTGCTCACATGTGGCCTCTGTTAGTTCTTTTATTTGTTAATTATTGAGTGTAATCTATATGACAGGCAGTGGGCAGGATCTTGGAATTGGCATGTTTATAATCTAATGATGTCACTTTCATTTTACAGGTTACGGCTTTCAGATCTCAGCCTATTTCCTCAAGAGGGGGATACCCCTTCGCTGTATCCTGAGCTCACAGAATACAGGTAAAGATCTGAGGGCTGAAAATAAGAGAACAGATATTCCTGTCTGTTTCTGTGACTACATCATTTAGTATATCAGAGCATATATGATCTCTCATGCTCCATTCATAGTGCTTATTGTCCATGAAAGCACAGAGATGGACCACAGTGTACTTTATTTTTCTGGTACATCACAGCATTTTCACTGGGCTTCAGAAGTGACTCAATGAACAAGTGAACTATGAATCATTTTGTCAGGGTGAGTGTGTCGCATAGCCTTTGGAAAGGGGAAAATGAATTACAAGAAAACACTTTCCCAGCCCTGAGCAAGCAAACCTTCCATAAGTATTTAATGAGGCCAGTTCCCAACCCTCAATTCCACAAGTCATGATATGGAAAATGATTGATATGTCCAGTCAACCACAGTGAAGCAAGGAGATAATGGCCAGTGTCTCTGAATAGATCTGATCTTAGAAAATGTAGCTTAAGCTGAGCATGGTAGCACATGCCTGTAATCTCAGCACTCAGGGAGGCAGAAGCAGGCAGATCTGTGAGTTTGAGGCCAGCCTGGTCTACAAGTGCATCCAGGACAGCCACAACTACACAGAAAAAAAAAAAAAAAAAAAAAAAAAAAACAGGTCTCAAAAAACCATGGGGGAAAAAGAAAGAAAAGAAAAAGAAGACAGCAAAAGAGAAAAAAGAAAGTGTAAATGCAGCTTAGCTATTTTAGACAAACCCTATGAGTATAAGCTATGAAATGGACTGAGAAACTGCCTTCATGGAGGTTTTTCACAGAATATTCATGATGTACTTTCTTAACTTTTAAATGTTGCTCAAATATATGACCCTCTTTTAAAAAAGTTATTTTTATTTTCTATGTTTGCCTGCATGCATGTATATGTGTGTCCCAGATACATGCTTGGTGCCCTTAGAGACTAGAAGAGGGCATTGGATCTCCTTGAACTCGAATTACAGATTGTTTTGAGCCACCATGTGGGTGCTAGGAATCGAACCCAGGTCCTCTAAAAAATCTGCTAACCACAGAGCCATCTCTGAATGCTTGGAGCATCACTGTTAGGTAGTGGGAACAAATGAGGCAGCAGGATGGAGCTTTTACTTAAGAGCAACTGACCTGTTGTGCTGAGGTACATGGTTTAGGACATTAGTCAGGAATGAAACAGCAGTGGCCCAGGGCTTAGGAGAGAACCACTCCTGAACATCAACCCTAGTTGTTTTGGTACACTCTAACCTAGCTAAGTGGAATAAGGTGTTCCCTGTGTTCATTGTGTGTTTGTATAATTAACATCTTTGAACCAAATGGAAGTGTGTTGCTATTTCACTCAGTATCTCACATTCACTGTACTGAAAGGGTTCACTTACCTGCTTTATAACTCTGTCTTAAAACATGGTCACATCTGAGGGGGAATTTTCCTGTTTTAGAAAAAGTGACTGTTTTGTATAAACAGTGCAGCAAACACAAAGAGAAGAAGAATTCACTCATTCAATCGAGGTAGGTACTGTTCATTGTTCATATCTGTTTCACATCACTCCTCCAGACATGGTCCCACAGTTGGTTGGTGGTTGGTGGAAGTATAGATGGACAAACAAGGCAGGTGAAAGAAGAGATGATGTAGATGGCATTATCAATATTGTGATCACATCATTGACTGAAGGGGTCCTTATCCTGTGCTCCATTCATCTTTTCCCACTTGGAAGTAAGTGGCTTTGCTGTCAGAATCTGCAGAGGTGGATTGCTGTGACTTCAGTCTAATACCATCTCTACTGTGGCATACTTAACCATCAATTCCTAAGAGAAATGGTTGTTTCCATATCTTGATTCAGCTTAGCCGCTTGCTCTCTAGTGCAGAATTAGGCCTCTGGTTTTCTCCAAGAGCAACTGACTAGGAAGATGATGAAACTAACTAGGAAAAGCATGAATGGCTCACATTTTTAGATTTGTGACTCACATTGTTCTTTCTCTTTTAAGTCTGTACTCTGATTAGAAAACATTGATATTTCTTCCCAAAGAGGAGCTCTAAACAGAAAGCAGCATACTAACCTGGAGCACAGTTAGAACAACCCGGAAGTTCCATGTGCCATAATAGTTCAGTGACTGGGGTAGACCAGTTTGCAAACTTTTGGCTCTTCCTTAAACTCACTCTGCCCAAGTGGTGGAAAACCTGTAGAAAGAATAAGGGAGATGAGACTCCAATCACATTTATGTGAATATTGCCATACAAAAAGTTAACAAAAAACCTGGGAACAGTAATTTCTATTTGCACGGTGTTGGTGCTTTGAGAAACTTGGTCTTCTTTGTTTTGTACAGAACTTCGTATATTTCCTGAAAGATTTGTGGTCTGTGTTAGTCACCTTGCATTCGGCCCTGATACTTGGGCAAACCAGAATGAAAAATTGGTATGTATGAAAAAAAATTGTAAGTAAGAGAATCTGCCTAGTGCTAAATGACCGTACTGGTGGTGGTGGTGGTGTGTGCATGTATGTGCGCGCATACGTATGCGCACACACGAGGGGGCTGTCTTCTATTATCAACTGTTTGGCATGTTTTAGGAGATCAGAGATGCCTTACCTCCTGTTTTGCATACTAACATTGATCAGTCAATGAATTGATTAATATGTTGGGTTTTTGTTTCTTTCGCCCCAAAGCCCCAAATATGTAGTTTGATAAACAGCATCTTATCACTTTCCAGTAAGGCCTTGGTGGTGTTTGTGATAGTATATAAATGAAAAGAATGGAAAATCTGTGCTTCCACTGGAAGTTTCCGTTGGGGGTCAGTGGCTTCTGAATTGTATTCCATGGTGGATCATTGACATTTTCCCTGAGAACTAGTGTTTCTCCCCAGCGTGTTATTTCATAGCTAATAGAGTTCATTTTCTCTTGCTCTCTCTTCTCATGCTAAGCTTGAGCTTTATCAGGGCCTTCCTTGTTCTGTTACCCTGGAGTTCTCTATTCAGACAAATAAATGTAGCAACCTACTCAGGGTTGTAGCTTTTGAGCTTAATATGTGCTCTTAACAGTGTCCCTGCTATGCCTCTGTGTGTCTTGCTTCAGTCCCAGTTCAGTCGATTTAACTTGTCCTTAAAAAATAAAGAAAAAATTTAGCTCTGTGGTTTGAACCTTCAGTGAACAGGAAAATATATATGTAGAGAGAATACATTAACCCAGCCATAAAGTATGACATTATTATTATGCTTCTAAAATAATTTACGAGGATATTAGATTATCCCTGTTGTTTATTATTTTTTAACCCATATGTGATTTGAAATTTGGCTCACATAGTATAAAATGAGCTTCTTATCTCATCTTAAGTAAATTCATAAGAAAAGTGTTTCAGAGCTTCTATAAGACAATAGAAGAAGAAGTAAGAGCTAAAAACTCATCCTTGCGTTTAGTTCTTTTGTTTTAGTTCCTTTGTTTCAGAAAGCCAGTGCAACCCTTGTATTTCCTCTCCATCCATCAAAAATACTCTTCAGATGTGCATAAAATAAGATCAGTAAAGCAAATTTAGCCAAAAGCATTAAAAGTTTATTCTTTGAAATATTTCCAAGACATTGCATTATCTTAGTAGATTAATAAATACTAGAGTAACTCTGTTGGCATATAGTTTAATAAATATTGCTTAACAGATTTTTTCAGAGCAAGAAAGAATTGATCTATGGTTTAAAAAAAAAAAAAAAAAACAAAACCTTATTAACTCTACCAGAATCTTATTACTTGCAGATGGGATACAGGAAAAATCAGATCTTATATCTGATGTGTAATGTTAATACTTGATATCTTAAATTATTAAGAAGGAATTAAAGCATCTGAATACAAATGAAACATTATCTCCTTAGGGGTCTGGTATTTGTGCAGATGTAAGCTTTCTGTTGCTGCTGTTATATGAGTCCTGTAATCCAGTAGACATCCTAATTATTCTTAACCAACCTGAACATCTTACATGGGAAATTCAGTTTCCTTTTCTTTAACATGTTCTGATCTTTAGTGAGTACACTGTCAAAGATGACCACATTAGCTCACAAGAAAAATGCCATTTATATCACCTGGTTTTTTCATTGTTTTTTGGTAGCTCTTTTTGGTCATATCTCTCTTTCCCTTCATATACACACTTTCCCAACAACACTTTCAGGAGTCAGTACTACCAAACAGCTCCATTGCCACATGTGAGTACCTCCCCTCCTCAGGGCCTTCAGCCCACCACTTTCTCAGGTATGTTGTCACCAGAAGCTGTGAAATATCCAGACCGTTCTCTATACCCCTCAGCAAGCCAGTCACACTCACTTTCTTCTATTGATATCTGACATCTTCCGAGTCTACCTGTCTCAGCTACTTACAGCTCAATAAACAACTCTTCCTGCCCTGGTGCCTCCTGCCAGAGAAAGTAAGAAGAAATTAATTCTCATGATTTACTTCAAATACTCAAAGCTAGTGATCACCGTCCCCCCCCCCACACACACACACACACATGCAAGGACTTGGATTTCTTTTCATTTTACACTGACATTTACAAAAAAGCAGGGTCTGTCTTATTTTCTCCTAGTCATTCTCAAGGCATTTCTGACTAGGCAAGGCCTGGGAACTTGGCTCCCCATGTAGCTATATTGGCAATAAACTTATGATTGTTTATATAGCTTGCTGTTTTGCATCCACAGAAGTGATGGGGGAATGATCTTGCACCTGAGAGCAGCTTCAACCTCTCATTGGTACTATAGCCATTAGGGAGTTTCCCCTTAGTTCCCTGTGCTCTCCCCTTAGTTACCTTTGTCCTAAGTGAGAATTTGTTAGGAAATCTAGGAACATCTGTTGGAAACTACTTTGTCCAGGGAGTCTTTCAGTCTTCAGACTAGGGAACCAGCAGTACTTAACACCCAGTTCTTTAAGATAGCTGCATTGAAGAACATGTACCAGATCAGTCAGCACAAGAGGGGCAGAGAAATCCCCTTCCTGTACAGAGCAGTGAGAGTAGTTCTTGCTGCTGCTTTACCACGTGCCAGAGAAGTCTGTTCCCCTTCTGTCAACTCTCTGTCCATGTGGGGACAGACAGTAGAGGAAGGTCCTCCGTGTTGCAATAGCACTGCGCTGTGTCCATGTGCTTAGGATGTGGGAACTGAGCTGTGTACTTTGGAAAGCAAGGGCATTATTATGAAGTGAGTCACTCTATTTTTCTTACTAGAGTTTCTCATAAGAAATCTCAAAGATTTTGTCGCCTCCAGTTTGACCTACTGCTGGATGTAGAGCCAAAGTGTTTGTTTCTGACAGTTCTGACCTTTGTTGTTCTGTTAACTGTTTCCTTAGCGATACGAAGACCATCAAGTTGGATTTTACTGTGCTTGCTTATATTGTGCAATATTGGCTTCCCTCCTTTTTTTTCTTTCTTTCTTCCTTTCTATCCTGAACTTACGTCGCCTGTGTAGGGACTGTTCTTTTTTGGTTCTAAAGCCCTGGAGGTTTAGAGAAATCTGAAGTTCTGTACTAGTTTCTGTGACTTCTTTATTGAAGTTATGTAAATAACCATGAGCCACTGTGTATATCTGGGACATTTCAGGGTCATTGCAAAGCTACTGTTTGATTGCGTGTTGGTTACAAGCCACTCCTAGTCTCTGGAGACCACGGTTCCCATCCACTCTGACCATTCCATGGAACAGAATGTTCTGGGTGCTGGGTCTCTACCAGTGGTCTCTACTGGCTTTCAGTGACACAAAAACAAGAAAATGCTGTTGCCCTCTAGCTGCTTACAGTCTGGGAGACTGCTACTGAGTGTCGTGCTCACCTAAAGTCAGTCAAAGCCTGAAAGCTGTGAATTTAGGAAGAAAGCCCCGACTTTAGGCCTCCGCCCTTGCCTTTCAAGCTGTGATGTCAGAGTCTGAGATTCAAGACGGATGCTCAGGGTTAGTGAGCAGCGTTAGTGGGCAGATCCATGCACTGAGGTTTTCCGTTTTTCCATCTTGTACTTCATCTGAGGTGTAGCTGAGCTGTGAAACTAGGTGTAAAAATTACACGGGTGCTTGTGTACACACATATTCACACACAGCCATCAGGGCAGGGCCCTCCACATAGCACAGACTACATAGAAGGGTTACTAAGAGGCCCTGACAATCAACAACATTTAAACACTAAGTTGAGTACGTCTCCTAAGCCAGCCTATGTTAAAAAGAAAAAAAAAAAAAACCCTCTTACTTAGAAATATAAGATTGAAGTAAAAATTAGTCTCAAGTAATAATCTACTGTAGATTGAGTTATATTTAGCATGGGTCTTATATTCCTCAGATGTGCATAGTCCAACCTCTGCTGGCTGAGTCCTCCTCTATATGAAAGAGAGGTGTCACATTATCTCAAAAATCTTTTCTCATGTGGAATTTCTGTCAGAAAAAAAAATGAAAATGCACTAAAATTTTTTTAAATAAATAATTTTAATGTGATTTTCATATAAGATAGATTTTTTAATGTAACCGTAATCTTACAGAATTGAGTCACATTTTATTCTAGGAAATAAACAAATGTTATAAGAAAGCATTTAGACATGTTAGGCCTTATATTTTTAAAACAGGAGAAATACAAATTAGTTTAAAAAGGGGGGGAGGAACAGAAGAAATGTACTACTTAAAAATTTGAGTACACTCATTAACTTCTGTGCCTGATGAGAGGAGCAGCAGTCCCTGACTTTTCCAGGGTTTGTATGGAGTCCATTCTTTTATATATATATAGTTAATACTATATAAATGTTTTTATTTTATTTTTTATAATAATTTTTATTTTTTTTATGAAACACAGGTTATGTACTTTGTATCCCAGCCATAGCCCCATCCCTCATTCCCTCCCAATTCCACCATCTCTCCCTCATCTCCTCCCTGCCCCTTTCCAAGTCCACTGACAGGGGAGGAGCGCCTCCCATTCCATCTGACCCTAGTTTATCAGGTCTCTTCAGGACTGGTTGCAATGTCCTCTTCTTGTCTGTGATTATACTTCTACTTCATGGCAAAGTAGAAGTACATGGAGCTGCCAAGATGTTCCTATAACACTTGCATAAAGAGCCTTGAATTTGGAGGAAAGGGTATTTATTAGTGCCCATTTTCTAATATTTCTAATTTGGTTCTTCCTTAGCAAGTAGAGATCAAAATCCTGTATGTTCGTTACACCAAAAGATTAAATACAAATATGCACAAGGAAAGTGGAAATTACCTCTTATTCTTGCCCAGTCTTTGTTACCAACCTGGTCTTTATTTCTTCAGGCTTTTAATAACTAAAGACATGTCTGTTTATTTCAGCTAGGACCCTGTTTATGTTAGGGCATTACGACTTTCCTGTTGATGGCCTAAGGATGACATATTTCTAATGATTATATAATATATCCTTATCAAGTAAGAAGAATTCTTAGTTAGCTTATCATTTGTTCTTT